CCTTTTTCCGGCGTGCATGGCTTCTGCGCTACTGGCAACTGCTCCCGTCTCCTTTGCACGGCCCCACCAGCATTTTTCCTCCCCCCAGAGTGAGAGTACCCATTTATCTACTCACGTAAGTTTTTGAGCTGCTGGGTTGACAGGAGCTGGGAAGGAAGCAGGAGCTCACTCTGCTGCGCAAAGCTGGGCTCGAACCGCTGCAGTGTTGACCATTTCTGGCCGGCAACTTTCAGCGTCATTAAGCCGCTGCGCCACCGCGTCCCTATGCTGATCCATAGCAAATTCATTTCTACAATAGAAGGCTATGGATCCTTCAGGTTGTCCTGGTCCTGTTAATCCATATGAATGACAGACACTGATGTCAATTCAGCCTCTCAGTAGCTGACATCCAGCAATGTCCATGTGACTGAGTGCATTAATGGAATGTTGTTTCCATACATTCTTAAAGAGTCCATTTGTGTGTGTGGCTATAATGAGCACCTCTAATAACGGACGTTCCTAGAGTGCTGTCATGTCAGAAAACACCCATAATAGATTTATAGGCCGAGTAAGAAAAGTTGGGGAGGCTAGTTGACCAAACATTTTCTCTTTTGAATTTTCCCTTGGAGCAGCAGCTGGCTGGGGAGCAGGGCTCGGTGGGAACCTGGAATCTAAGCCTGCAACTTTCAAGATACAGGCAGGAATCTAACCCACTGGAATGTCTAAGTACAGCAAGTACCTAGATAGAATGACACTAGAGTCCAGTTTTATTTTCTATGTACTTAAGTAAAATCTCTGGTTTACTCTGAAATTAGTCTTTTGAGCGTATTTGCTTTCCTACGCTGGCTCTATCCAGTTTTAATTTGTTCCCAGTATGGCCTAACATTGCTATGTGACTTTTTGGTATCATATGATGTTAATAAAGTCTCAACACTATTTTAAACTGATATTTTTGGCAGCATTTGCATGACCATGTCATCACACAGGTCATCATTTTGACCTTATTGTGGTTTCCTATGGATGCCACTGCTTGACTAACAAGTTCAGTCACTTTATTGGAACACTTTCTGATTATAAACACACACACACACACACAGACACACAAAGACAGTATCCCGCCCAAGCCCCTTCCTCTTTATGCAGAAATGAGGCTGCTTTTGCAAATGGGCATGGCAATCATTGCTAATTCGTGTGGTTTTGCTCCCATTTTTTTCAGTTCACCTCTGAAAATTATCCCAGTCCTCAACTATCACTATGTGTCACAAAGTATATGTTTATAATGTATTTATGTTTGGTTCTGATCTATGTGTTGCAAGTTTTTAAGTGCACGACTTAATTAGAAAAACATTGCATAGGAAATACTCATTCAGAAACTTTTATTCTCCTCTCCCTACCTTTGCTCCATTTGCACTACACAATGTGTAACCATTTACTTGCATGGTACAGAACTGAACAACCATCTGTAAGAAAGCCCTGATGGCCAACTTAGTTAGAAATGCAATGGCAGGAGGGGATACTCTGAACAGAAGTAATGGGGGTGCAGTCCTTATTCCTTCCTTCATCTTCTGTCCCTTCCTCTCAAACCACTTACTTGGTTTCCCAATCTCAGTTTGTAGTACAATTATTAACTTATATTGGCTAGAATGGCCATTATGTTTTCATCCATACTAACAAGTAAGGCGTTGATTAATATTAGCATAAAATTGTAAACTTTTTTTCTATATGTTTATTCTATGAATAAGCTTCATATTTGTAAAAAAAAAAAAAAGAAAGAATATGATCTAAAAGGATGCTAAAACATTTTGTTATACTTTTAGAAATAAAACACTTGAACAACCGTTTTGCTTCTGTTTGTTAACTATGCAATTCTTGTCATGTCTGATATTATTCTTTAGTCGAATGCTCCAAATTATGCTGAGGGGGAAAGAAAAAGAAGAAAGTAAATGAGCAGTGAAGTGAAAAAAGTGACAATATAAATCAATTGCAGATTCTTCCAGATGGAGGGAATCAGTGCCAATCAAAAAGCATTGTGCAGCTATTCTGCCTTTCATCTCATAATTTTTATTGTTGCTATTATAAGAAAAAAGATTGGAGAAGCAAGAAAATGCAGGTATGGAATTAGTCCAATTTCTGCAAATATAGAACAAGGCAGCTGCAGGGGGAAAAGCCCATCTAGAAGTACCCAAAGCATTTGCAAGTGAATTGTCACAGGCAATTCTATCTATCTATCTATCTATCTATCTATCTATCTATCTATC